CCTAGTAGTAAGGCCAGGAGCCTCTAGTAGCGTCCTTGTTCCTAGTACCGATGCCCTTTGCTCCTAGTAGCTTGTTGCTACTAGTAGTAGGGCCAGGAGCGCCCCTAGTAGCGTCCTTGCTCCTAGTAGCGATGCTCTTTGTTACGAGTAGCTTCTTGCTACTAGCCTGTTGATACCCCTTGCTCAGGAGGGGCTTGAAATCTGAGATTGCGGAGGGCAAACAATTTGAGGAACTGCTCAGGAGCAGAACAATAGCGTGTGGAATTTGCTGGACCCTGCTGTATCCTCGTGTTGACGGATTTCCCCACGATTATTGCACGTGCAGTGACGCAGGAAGCATGGAGATCCCAAGATGGAGGTTCCCGAGAACATGTTCGCAGAGGTGGCACATCATCATGATGTCAAAGTTTGCCATGACTACGATTGCATGTGGGCACACTCCAAACGGAAACGATAGGGGACTCAGGGACTCACAAATCTGAGGAATGCAACAGCCACACAAAATGACATTTGACCGCGCTTCATGCGATGGTCATTGGACTTTCAGCTGGGCTAGGCGATCCTTGACAATGTGGTAGACTTGGGGGAGCTGGTTCTGCAGTTCTATGGGGGGTACATGGAAAAGACCGCAACTCAGACTCCTCTGACAGTCGAGAACAGTGCTGATCCTGTCGGGGCCCAGGCAGCCAGTCTCTCCCGACACAAACCCTCAGAAGCTGGGAAGGCAGAACATACGGAGTTCTGCATAGGTAGCACGTGACTGTGACAGGTCTCCAAAATGCTTTGACCCAACTTGCCATTTAGTCAAGATGTGGATAGTTCATGGATCAGGCGGCTCCGGAAACGAATGAAAAAGGCAAGGCCTTGGCATTACTTTTGGTACTGTAATGTGTGAGTTCATGTCACTGTCGGGGCAGTCATGACATGCTGAGCATGAAGCTTTCAAGATATTTTTTTTTGACGAAAGTGCTCAGTTGACTTTGGAATTCAGCCTGTTTGGAAGGATTACGGCATTGACAGCACATTTGAATTGGAGGAACTTGCGTGAAGCTTTCCATTGAACTTGGTGCTTGCTTTGAATTGGATCAGGGTGATTCTAGTAGCGTCCTTGTGCCTAGTAGCAAGGCCAGGAGCCCCTAATAGTGTCCGATCGCTCCTTGGAGGACAATTTGCCACCCCGAGATCCGAAAGACAAGACTTCAAAGCAGGCAGAGCAAAGCACAAAGGATTCATAACAGGTCCAGCAGGTCCTACAGATCCAACGTTTATCCGGACTCCCGAAAACTCGATGATCAATGTTTTGACATCAATTTTTTGTCAGGACTATGTGGGTGCCTTCAATAGATTGCTACCAACTTAGATACAATTTTCAAACAATGGGAAGACGAAATCTTGCAATATTGAACTAAGGGATCCAAATTTGAAATTCAAATCAAATGGCCTTTAAAAATTCTTTGAATTATTGATATTCTATTATATTATATATATATATATTTAATACATAAATTTATATGTATATTTATATATTTGTATAGATTTTTAATCTATATAAAAATATATGAATATATTTATTTATTATTTATTGTTATTTTTGTTTATGAGATTATGTTAAATATGGACGCGTAATTTGGCGAGGATATGGGATATTTTTTAATTTATTAATAATTTATCGATATTATATAAATTTTTCGATATAAATAGGTTTTTTATTATTTATAAATTGAATTGAAATAGAAATTTTTTAAACATTTAACTAAGAATATAAATAAATATTTTTTTTATTGGAGAATTGATGTAAAATTTATTTAATATGTTGTTCGTCGATGATTTGATTATATATATAGATATTATGTTGGTACGGATGATTTTTGAGGATAGGATCGAACATCGATATTTTGGGTTATTTATACTAATATTAAAAAGACTTCTTACTTATAGATTCGTAGATTTTAATCTTGAAATGTAGATATATAATATATGATCTTCGACTCTTTTTAATCCGAATTATCGCGGGCAAAATATTGCTACGCTACAAATGAATGTAAAATTAAATATATTTGAAAAATTGGAGGAAACATACACATTTGTGTAGATTGGAATCGCTAGAATTAGCCAAAATAGGTAGATAGGTCCGATTTATTTTTCTAATAGAGATTGGACCGAGGTTAAGGCATACTTGAAAAATTGGTTTTGAAATTCCGGTGAGGTCATACTTTGGGTGCTTGATGCTATCGATTAACTAGTATAAGAACACTTAGCCAGATATGAATTTGAGCGGTTAGAAGCTTTCTTTGCACAATGTATAGTGTATCGGAGACGAATCGCCTAGGGAAGATTGACGTTTGTGTTAATTGATCCTCCCCTGGTGATGCTTATTCTGCCCAGGCCGCACATAGTTGTTGTCCGAGATTTACTTGTGATAGATAGGCCTTTCTTGTGTTAGGTATTCTCGCAAGGCCGGACAAGCGTTTTGTCTGTTGTGTTGCCTGTCCCCTATCCGTCAATTGATATTGTAATTTTGTTTGCCCTGGCTGTGCCGTAGCACGAATGTGTGCGTAGGGCCTTGTGTTATGCGGTTTACCGGGGGGAAAGGTATATGTACAGACATGACATTGATATCCAATTAGGAGCTTTTGTCAAGCTTTATAAATTTATTGATGAAGAAGCTAGGTCCGACTCCATTGGGTGTGGCACGACTTCAGATCTCTGGACTGAAGGATCGAGTGTTTCATGGAGCGAGTATTTCTTGCATGATATGACATCTGATGAATGAATTATCTGAGATCGGGGATATGCACTACCCTAGGGTGATTCCCATCGCCGACATTGGAGACCCAGAGGCTGTTGAAGCTGCGGATGGTTTTTGGCAGCACGATATTTATTTGTTCCGTGAAGATGAAGATTCGCGTGCAAATATTCACCTTTCATTCTTTGAGTAAGATTTTCGATGGCAGCAACAATGGTGGGCACGTCTCCATCGCGCGATGGCAACGACACGATCTTATAACTTAGCAGAACTCCTGGATGAGGCGACGCGGTTCCATGCCGCCCGAGGGGTTTGGCCAGAATTAGTTGTATGCATCCTTCCAAATGATTGGCATAGAGGGACCCCAAGGGAAACATGGCAAATTGATGCTGCACACCTGGTTGTCTACATGAGGGAGGTCCTCTTGGCTGATATCCCCTTCGAACAGGAGATTGGGATTTATGCAATCCAACCTTTTGTCACGCCATTTGAGCAGTTTGGCGAAGATGCACTTAACATCTTGGTTGATGCTGAGTCCCGCCCTGACCTAAAAGCGATCCTTGTCATTGAGGACCATTGGCAAGGGGATTACTTACAGATGTGGCTTCTTAGGGTCGAGACAATAGTTGATACCTGGCAGATTGTTGAGGCTGTTGATCGCATGATAGATTGTTCTGACTATGATGCCACTTGTCGCTTGGAATGTGAGCTCCAGGAACTGCCGCGAATGGTGCAGTGGCGTACACTACCTGGCATGAAGATATACCTCACTATTCGAAAGGAAGAAGCCTGCCAGGCCTTGGGCTTGTTTGAGGAAGAGGAGGAAACAATACTTGTGCAAACCGAGTGTGCTGCACAACAAATCGAGACTAGACAAGGTCGACGCTGGGCACGCCTTCAGGCTGATCCGGTATATTACCAACTCACATCTTCCCTCGATTCAAGAATGGTACAGCAGCCAAGCGGCGGTGTGACAAAAATCTGGCTGTGACATGGGATTATATCACACGATGCTGCTATTCTTCTTGACTTGCGAATCGAAATCCCGTCATGGACGGAATGGATCCGCGAGTCATAGCGAGATGAGCCACATCTCTCGCATTATATCCTTGTCATACAGAGGCTGCCATCACTTAGTCTTATTAGGATAGATTACAACATCATCGGCGCAAGTGTAACGGACCGTACATATGGGCTGCGCACGCTGATCATAGACCTGACCTACAACAGTGTACTGCGCCGTGGGGTTGTACGTTGCCCAATACTGGCTATGGTGGCAGAAATCATCAAACACTTTATGGGCAGGTCTATGCTAGTTGACAGTCCACTCCTTGAGAGTTCTGGAGAAGTGGTGGAGCGGTTTATGTTTATCGTGCCTTTCAAATATCGGCTGCTCCTGATGGGGCATATATCCAGGTAATAATGCTCCTGATGAGCCACATGCTGCTGCAGATTCTGAGGATGACGAAATGGTGGAGATGTAAATAACAGTGGCCGAGCATGCCTACTCACAAGAACGAATGATAATTGACCCCTTATACAGGTTGGTGCGTGGAGTGCAGCATCTGTATCAATTGGACATGACTAGACCAGTCCGTTTGACGCTCTGGCCTTTTGGATCTCCGGGTATCATGGTGGAGGTAACTGGAGTGACCAGGCTATTGTTTTCAGATGACATGAGCCGGATAAATTTGTATGAAGAAACGAATCAACAATCCTTGACATTTGCTCTCATTCAACCACGACCGCCTGATAGACCGCCTGATAGAGGGCTCGGGAATCAACCTATACATATGATTGGAATTGCATTTTCAAATTATCGATATCTGTTGGTGGATCTGTACCTACCAGGTCAGATCGTCAGGACTGCTGTGCAAGTGCCATTTGGGCACAAGGTGCTGGACATTTATCGGGTCATTGCGAAAGGCAAAATTAGATTGAAAGCACTTTTAACTACATCCTTCACCTTGATATGGCAAGCACCGGAAGGTGTACAAATATTCCGATCATATGAAGTCCCGAGGATACCTTCTGGGTCCTGTGTTTTTTGTATACTTGAAGGTGACAGAGACAATGTGCTTGGACAATTGGGATTCCCCTATACGGGAAATACACGTGGAGAGCGTCCACAGGGATGACACAGCTAGCAACAATGCAGATACCCGGAGGAGGCATCCGCCCAATTCAGGAGTCCACACTGACCTCCTGACAGGGATGTACATTCCATGTCCTTGGAATCAGAGCCGAATCCAGATGGATTGACGCTCTTGCAACTTACGAGAAAATGAATGGAAGAATGCGATGGATAAAGGATCCCTTCCAAGAATTGCCACCACCAGGCAATCCTGTCCGATGGGTTCGATGGGATCTCAATACACTGGATGACTTTTTCCAGATAGGGGAGCAGGAGGTTGTCATGGATATCAAATTTTGTCTAAAAGGACTTCGACAGACGGGACAAGGGGATTCTTTGATTACCAAATCACAGCGTGTCACAATCCCACTGGCCACGGAACTCGACCTGAACACCACAGAAATGAAATTTCCGATATACCAGCCACTGGTGGATGCATTGCTTGTCAAGCCCATGTATCCTGCAGACTTGTTCTTTGACTTTGAATAGTTGAAGGACTTTTTGCCTGAAAGCCAACTGCAGGAATTTGACATGATGTCCCATGGTTGGATTGAAGGGGCTGACTCCATTGAAATATATACGGATGATTCCTACCAATCCAATTTTGATGGAAATGCGGCTTGGGCCTTTGTGATACTAGTTCGGACCGGAAATTTCTTTACCTTGATTGGAATGGATTACGGGCTTTGTGTTACGGATGAGCTGGAAACTGGTTGGTTCGGAACGGAACACTCGAATGCTCGAGCCGGTGAAATAGGGGCACAGATTCGAGCGATAGAATGGTACTTTGCACACGCCCTCGATAAACAGGTTTTATTCCTTTTTGACGCCCAATCAATTGGGTATTGCGCATCCGGAGAACAGTCATACAGACATGATGATCGTGCCATGAGATGTCGATCGCCCTGAGTTCTTGGCTTGAGAATACGGCCTCTCCGAAGCCGAGGTGGAACCGCGTAAAGGGCCACATGAGTGTTTGGCAATGAACTAGCTGATGCTTTAGCAAAATTTGCCCTTCGAAATCAAGGGGAATTCCGTGGCATCGTCAGGCCGGACTACGTGCTATACATCTGTGGGGACAAGCTGCCAATTGAGCACTTTTGGTGGCATTGGGAAGCAGATCAGACCTTCCGCCTTTGCATAATGATATATTGTCTGTCCCACGAGTACTTGTTAGCCAAAATGCTGAAGAAAAGACACTTATATTTCTGTTGGAAGCCTTAAAAAGCTGTGCTGACTCTGAAAAGAAATTTCGACTGTTCATTGTGACCTACAATGTGGGAACTTTGGGGCCGAAGGATTCAAGATCCAATACCTACGTAAACAGTTGGAAGCACACGGAGTCACTATTGCATGTCTGCAAGAAACACGTGCCCGGACTTCACAAATGATTACTTCCAGGACACATGTGAGATTAACCTCTTCGGCTTCGCAAGGTCACGGGGGAATTGACATTTGGCTCCTGAGAGTGTCCAGTACA